ATAATAATAATAATAATATATGTTTATAATAATATTCAAATTATAAGAAAGATTACTGTAACTATTTTTATGAAACAAAAACATTTGTTAATTATACAGTACCAGAACCAGTAGTTTCTCGTTTTATTATGGCAATTTCCATATGTTTGATTTTTATTCTAACCAAAAGAAAATATATTTTTCCAACAATAACATCTTTTAAATGATATCTGCAAAAAGATTAATTAATCATTAAACTCTATATTGGACATTAACATTTACATAATTAAACTTTACACTGATACAACTTACTTGCTTTTATTATACTCAAATTCAATATGCAAACAGTCTTCAATTCCAACTTCCATCTTAATAGGGTTATTCATATCTGGATAGGAACTAAGAGTGTGCACAACTAATTCAAGTTCTTTAACAATATCACTAAGTCTTCGAACAATTGTTACTTTGAGAAAATATCTTAGTCGTACATTAGATCCTGTGTAACTTTCAAATGGCTTTTCTACATTTGCAAATTCAAAAGTATATACTGTATTATGAGTTAATTCTCCTGGCCTAGCTAATTCTTTAACTAGACTTGTAAACTCATGATGATTTCCTCTATCATAATATAATTCGATTTGTCCAATGAACTCTACTTTTACACCTTGATGCTCCAATTTACCAGCTTTCCTAAGACTAATGTTAATCTGCAAATAATAATACATTTTAATTAATATAACCTCATCTACCTTTAAAGAGAAATTAGCACTAAATTATAATTGTCATAAAAAGTAAATGATTTTCAGATATATTCTATTAGAGTTTTATGGTTTGAATTTATCAAATTAAATAAGATAATCATATTTACTTAAAGATATTAAATCATATCTATTTTTATATGTATATATATACACACACATACATATGTATACTACATGATGTAATTTTTTTATATAAGAATGTTAATGTGTAAAAGTATATAAATTACTAGATATTAATATAAACAGAATAAGACAGTGTTAAACATTTTTTACTTTATTATTTACATCTACCTAACTGAAGTTTGCGAATAACCATCGTAGATTGTAAGTATACATTCTGCATAAACGTCTTATACAATTCATTGATGTTTATTCATTTAAAAAAAGATTTTTACCTTTCCAGAAACGGTTTCACCGTCATAGTATAACAAGTGGCGCTCTTTTTTACCATCTTCAGATTTAATGTCTGCAGTTTTCCTAGTTTCTGCACCATCCAAAGTAATCTCTATATCTGCCGACTGACCGAACCCAAAGAAACTCTGCAAGAAAAATAAAGCAGATATGCTGGGAACATTGTAAAATTTCATAATGAACGATTTAACTGTTCTAAAACGAAGAATCTACGAATCAAAAAGTAACATACCATTTTTCGTAAAAAAAGTTGAGCTTGTATAAATGATCACACGTTCTATCGTAATCGTGTTCGCGCTAGCAAGACCAATGTGTGAAATCAATGAAAAATCCTCGAAGGCAACATTTTTTCACGTAGAAACGAGAAAAGTTGTATTATTTTTTGCTCACTTCCTCCCAAAAGTCACAAGTAGCCAATATGGCTGCGCACTGTGGCCCCCACCCTTACCGTATACTGTCAAACTTGCAGTCGCGTGTAAGAATACGGCAGACAACATTAGAACCGGTAATATCTAGTATCATTTACATCCACTTTTTATCCTTTTTTAACACTCGTCGATATTAATTGGATAAGACAGTGTATTGTAGTTCACAATATTTCCCTTAAAAACATCTGTTCGTTTCAATGTCAGGTGCGTTCGTAATGTCATTCAATGGCGAATATCGGTGACGTTTAGAAAACAAGCTACCATAATCTACACGTGATAACATGCTCAAGTTCCGTTTTCAGTTCGTTTACTTTACGCTACGTTTGAATCGATATAAACAAATGATCGCTGGATACTTGAGGGAATTTTTATATTAATAACGTAATGATTTAACAACGTGTGTCTTTGGTTAGGCTAATTGAGCAAGAGGTGAAGACGGAAAAATCAATTCCATTACTCGATATTCATCGTAAACACGTTGAATATTATCGCAATGGAGATTACTGAAATAAAAATTGATATAAACCATTCAATTACAATGAACTTGTGAATGACAATCAGCGAATATTTGCTTATGAGGTTAGACGCTATGTTACTTCATAGTATGAGTTTATTTAATGCACTTGTTTTCTTACAAATCAATGTGATATTTGTTTTGTTGTGATATTTGTAATGTTGTATATAGAATTTCACTAATGTATGGGTTAATTTTCATTTGAAGCAAAGAACCATGGTAGAAATCTCTTCGATTGATAGTTAAAAATTTAGTAAATAGCAGTAAATCATGGATTATGACTATATGTCTTTTCATAGAGAAAAAGATGTTCATAATAAATGTTATGGTGGAAGATTATGGTGTATAAAAGTATGTACAAATATTTTATTAAATAATTAAAATATACTGTGTTAATATTGTTTAAATAATCTTTAATTGATATATTTCAGGACATATGTGGGATTATATGTGCAATATTAACATGGTTGTTAATAATTTATGCAGAATTTGTAGTAATGGCAGTTATTCTTATTCCCACAATAAATACCTTATATTCCAGTTTAAACACTGCAATATTTCAGTCATTAACTTTTTTAGCCTTCGCATCTCACTTAAGAACAATGTTCACAGATCCAGTAAATAAAAGTTATATCTTAAAACAAGCTATTATATATGAAATATATTAATAATTTGACATAACTATTTATAGGGTGCTGTTATGAAAGGAAATGCTACAAAGGAAATGATCGAACAAATGGGATTTAGAGATGGACAAGTCATATTTAAATGTCCCAAATGTTGTTCCATTAAGCCCGATAGAGCACATCACTGTTCTGTTTGCCAAAGGTTTTATACATTTATAACAATGATATATAGTTTTACATAGAAATAATAAATATTTTAATATTTTACTTGTAGATGTGTTAGAAAAATGGATCATCATTGTCCATGGGTTAATAATTGTGTTGGAGAAAATAATCAAAAATATTTTGTACTTTTTACTGTAAGTCTCACTATACACGCGTGAAAATTGATGACAGTTTTTACAATTTACAATTTATTTTAGTTCTATATAGCAGCAATGTCATTGCATTCTTTATTCTTGTGTATACAACAATTTACTACATGTATAAGACAAGAATGGAAAGAATGTTCTACTTTTAGTCCACCTGCAACAGTGGTACTATTACTTTTTTTGGCTTTTGAAGCCCTCTTATTTGCCATTTTCACAGCTGTGATGTTGGGAACACAGTTGCAAGCAATTTGGAATGATGAAACTGTATGTATGCAACAGTTAAATAAAAAAGTTTATTTTATTTTCAAATAGATTATTCATTTATATTATGTATAGGGTATTGAGCAACTTAAAAAGGAAGAAGCCAGGTGGGTTCGTAATAGTAGATGGAAATCTATTCAAGCTGTGTTTGGAAGATTTTCAATTGCTTGGTTTTCTCCCTTTACTTCTCCCCCAAAGGGAAAGACAAAACAAGATTCTTACTTATATTCCGTATAATATGTTATGATACGTGGTTACATCCCAGGGATATTTAATACTTGTAATTGTAATATAACTGTGACGTATCATGAATTCATGTATAAGCGAATAGAATGTTTGTAATCTTATATTGTTACCTAACATTCTTATTTTATTGCGAGCATTTGTAAGAGAGACTTAAACAAACCAACGTTTAACATATATATCTGTAAACTTGTAAGCATACGAAAAAAAAGCATGCTTCTTGTAAAGCTTCTTGCATTAAAACATTGGAATCATTGATCGTGATAGTGACAGCGCCAAGTTACTTTTTATCCATTGATATTTACTCATACAATACTGGGACTTACTAGTTTATCGTACTAGTATAATTTATATCGTGAACTATGCGACTGTGTATTATATATAAGAAGTAATATACGGAACATTAAGTTGTTATGATGAATTTTAAGAGAATCGATGTTTTGCACTATTTTAGAGGATATATATTGCACATTGTGATAATAGCGTACAACGTTTACGAACAATTCAGTTTATTCGTTTTGTTCCGCATTTTGAATGTTCAAATCGCGTCTGGTGATGTGTGACGGCAACAAAAACGAAATTTTATAAAAATACGTTTTCTTTATTTCGATTAACATATCGTAGTTTAATTACATTTTTTTATTCTTTGATATTGTATTCCTACAACGATACCTGATTTTTTTGTACAGTTTGTACAAATACAGTTTCTTACATTTACCAGCGCAACTATTTTATTTTAAGAAATTAATTCACAAAAGAATACATTCAACGCCAATGGCGAAATCCGTGATGATTGCATGTTTCCCAATTTTGTCAGCTTCCGTTTCTGCAGACCTCGAGGTTGCTCTTGGTCTTCAGGGTGGGGGCGCTTGGCAGTGGCAAGGTTGTTAAATGTGTGTGCAGGTAGAGGAAACGTCTGTCTGCACACTGTTGTGTACGATCGTCAGAGCGGCTTTCACTTTTGCTACGATCACGTTCGGTAAGTTTCAACCATGAAAACTCGTAGTTTAGCGATCTTTTTATGATAGATAACTTCTCACGATAATAGCCTTAATAATCGAGATTTAAATTCAATCTGTTATTGAACTCAATCGCCGCTTCATCTTTTTCTCTCCTCGCGAGCAGTTTCAGTATTTACTGGCTAACAAAGAAGTAAAATTTGTAATGACTTATATTCAGTTTAGTTGATTTAATGACGCGTTGGAGTTTATTAAAATTAATTACAAACATGTTTCTCAATAACTTTCATTATCGCGATTTTATAAATAATTGATTGAAACGAGAGTTCGACAAACAAGTTAAATGCACGTTTTTATTCGTAGTTACTGAGTGTGCATCGTAAAATTTCTTTAATCGTGTGTAAAATAAAAGAAAATTGACGAGTGTAACGAAAAGAAACGCAAACCTGTTGCATGCTTACGAAATTAACGGCGAATGAGCGCGCAGCTCACAATTAGCTGGTCTCTTTTATCGATCATCATTGATCGGAGGGGGAAAGATTTAAGCAAAAAAGTACAGAGTATGTAATTAATTCATTAGAAATCGTGTAATAATTTATCATTGATGTCATTTATGTAGTTTGGAATAAGTTAATTTCATGCTTCGTATTGCGGCCATCTAATTAAAACTATTTCAAATAATTATAATTATATTACGGTATAAATTAAATCTTGTTGATCTTATATTTTCTGCTTTATCATATATCAAATATATCCTTTATTATTTCAGCGCTTCGGTCAACATAGGATACGGATGAAAAGTATGGCAGCAAATCTTTTTATTTCGTTCACGGTATTTATCTTTACTTCTATTATATCAAGACATTTTCAACGATTCCATTCATCAATAAATACATAAATTTGTATTTAATCTGAAACTATGAAGCAAATATTTTCTACAATTAAAATATAACCAGTGTTCTTTTAGATAATTCAAAGTAAAAATCATTAGATTTTATATAGCAACTATAAGTCTTATTTATTTGTGATTCCAGAGCTTTCTTGTTCTGATTTTCCTGGCATTAAGTGGAATGGCTTACGACCCGAACGACAAATCGCTGAAGGACATTCTGTTACCGGAAGGACAATTCGAGGCATTCTACTTGAAAGGATCGCAGGAGGAGGAGCAGAATGCCGTGAGGCCTCCGCATCTGCATGGCTCGTTTCATCAGTACAAGAATCCCGCCCTGGTTAGCGCGCCGAACAGCGCTGCATACGGTTTTCGTTTCGATGGAAAGCGCCGTTTCAATTACAATTAAGTGGATCTATCGAGTTCAAATCTTCACAGAATTCATAACGTTCCGTACTATGGCTTTATTACCATTTAGTATTATGCATTAGAGAGGCGTTTTACTCAGCTGCAACGAGATCAAGTTTCTCGATCAGATCCCACGTTTTTTTTTTTTTCTCACAAATATATTACTTCATTAGCGAGATCATTAAAAAAAAGAAAAATAAACGCAAGTTATATATATATCGAGCATTAATCGGCAAAAATTTAGTAATAATAAATCAACATTCTATATACGTAAAAAACATTATTCGTTATAAACTTACTATATTTTCGATGTACACGTATAATTAATTACGATTGAAGATTTATTTTTAATCCATACTGTATAAAAGAAAACAGAACGTACGATTTGAATGGTTGAAAATGAAGAAGTAAATTAAACTAGATTACTTCGTAATTTTCCAGTATTTCCTGTTATAAAGACATTTTTCGAACATCTCCTTTCTATCGAGAATGAGAGTTTCTCGAACATTTTTAACTGCTTGTTACAACTTTTTACAAATTGTCAACACGTCTACACATCGCGGCGTATTTAATGCGAACTTTCTTTAGACCTCTTTAACTATCAGCTCCTTTTTCTTCCTTTAAATGTTCGATCCACCACCGGTTATGGTGTCGCTATTGCTTAAGAACTTAAGATGAGCGTGCCGCGGCTTTCATTTCAGGTTTATTAATTGTCGCTAAAAACTGGTGTCTCGGAATGAGCGGTTGTTTAGACATTTGGCTTTTTACGTTCATCACTTCTGAGAGATCGATTATTCTATAAATAGAATAGATATCGATTACTTAAATAGAAACTTCACTTTCGTTCAGGTGTGTGCATTTAATGATGGTAAACAGAAGAACGTAATTCGTTATCCATAAACACACAACACCCACATACGAAAAAAAGGAAAAAAATTCATACTCGGTCAACTTATTAATCATAGTGCGCTTCATTCATCGTTCATCCACAAACTCTCTTCGCGGTATATATTTTCTTGGATTCTAAGAAAGATCTTTTTATACAAGGAATTTTATAGACTTTCGATTCGATAATTTCTTTGTTTACATTTTCCTTTTCCAGCGTGTGACAGGAAAATCAAGAAAATCAACTCGCTTTTTCACACAATAGAATGTGGATAAATTTAGAAACATCTTTACTGCTTCACTGGTTACTTCAGATCTTTCAAGTTGTTTGTAA